CCCCCCCCCCCCCACCATTTGTTTTTCTTTCCATTGTCATATAATTTTAAATACACTACTAAGGCCTCATTTGTTTTTATTAAAATTAAGACCTCTGAATCTGAATACACGTCTGAACATTACGATTTGCATTAAAAGCTAGGTGTCTATATCTGAATACACATCTGAATAGTAAGATGTGGTCTCCAAATCTGAACACTGAATGATTATTGTTTGTTTTCAATATCTGAATGTGCATATGAAATCAAACATTTTATTAATAAAGTATTATAAAAAATTCATTTCAACAAAAAATATTACTTTTTGATTAAAAAAATATCATAATTATCAAGCATAGCATATAAAAAAAATCACGAATAAAAAGTATTTTATATGCATAATATAATATCAAAAAGTTCAATAAGTATGAAAAATACTAGTTGAAAAATAATAAATAAGGTATCACATTATCAGCGCCTAACATATATTTTGGCTAATTAGAAAAACTAAATTATTATTATTTTTCGATAACCTTAATCCAATTCTCTAAGTTGTGAACCTCTAACGTCATTCATGCTTTTTTGTAGTGGACACTTTCACAAAATATACTAACGCATGTATTGTATAATGACTCTTCCCATCCAAGTCCATCTAATTTTTCCATATATTCTTCAAATGTAGGTGCACTATTTTTTTAATCATCTTCTCATTAATTTCCAATTCAAACGAATAAGTTTTTTTTCTTCCCCAAAACTTTTTTTTCCAGCTGAAACTGAAGATTGGATGGAGAATTATTAAGAGCTCCATTATTTTGGTCACCAACTAGTTCAACAACAATAATATATTAGTGTTGTCTCACAAACGGATTTGATGATCAAAGAGTCTCTATAAAATTATTGGCCTAAGATAAATTTCTAATAAGAGACCTCAAATATGTATACATAGTTATTATTTTTTAATTATGAATAACATTTTTTTCACTCAAAAACCTTGATGAACATCAATACACTAAAAATATTATTGCAACAAGTGTTCTTGACAAACATCAATACACCCTAAGAAAATTATTAATATAAAAAAAGTACTTGTAAAGATTATGAAAAGTTACTAGTTCAAGAGGAAAAAAATGGTGTTTGATTGAGAAAAGAGAGGAAGAAAGTTTATAGTTGTAAGAGCAAAAGTCACGCAAAGACCGAGAGAGGCGATACAATATTATTTTATAACTTATTAAATAAGTCTGAATGGTGTTAAGACTCTCTTGCAGTCCGTTCAGACCTTTTCAAATCCATTAAGAGGACTTTTTGAAAAAAGAAACAAATGGACTTAATGGTCTGAATCTGAATGATAAGATTCACCCTCCATTAAGTGGAAACAAATGAGGTCTAAGTGACTTTTGAACTACAAACATCTGACAGCAACGTTACATTATACCATATTGAATAATTTTTTCACTAATATAAATTGACAAAGAAACTCCCTCTAACCAAAACATTATATTCATGACCAAAAAATCAAAGGTAAGAACCAAAAAATCTGAAGACAAAAGATCAATATTCATGAAATATATAGATGAAAATTAAATGACATAAAAAAGGAGCAAGCCAGCACGCTAGCAAACGACAGATCATTTAACTATTTCTGCTCAATTAGAATCAAGGTTAGCTTTCTTCTCGTTCCACAAGAATGGAAGAACGACAACTACTACATTGCGTCAACCCCAAGCTAGTTGTAGATGAAGTGCAAAGTAAGAGAAACGTTGTCCAGCTGAGACCACCAAAAGCCCTCAAAACAAAGTTCAGAAGCAATAACCATGAAAAATATTGGTATATATTCTTATAATCCTTCATTTTACTGACATCTTTCTATACAGAATCCACCAGTCAGAACTAGTTTCTCTCTCTGTAAATACATTGAATCACATAAAAGTTAATTGATAGGAGAAAATACAGTAGCCAACCCTTGATCTACTTTGATATGGAGCTTGTCGTAGGTCATCAATGTTTTCTGATCACACTTGTAAGTTCCTTTACCTCTGGCAAGGACCTCACCGTCTACATCAATAATCCCTTCCTTGTTTGGGTCATCTGCTCGTGGACCAGGCTCTAAAGCGAAAGCCTTTACCTGTGGTTGTTATAGATCAATGAGAAGCATTTAGGTTAAATCCTAATGAATTCATGCAACTAGTCTTTAATTTCAAAAGTTGACTTCTTTCAAATTTTAACACATCAAATGTGAATATGCATGGGATAAAGGTTAGGGGATTGTATTGCTGATTGTTCAGACAAAGGGGTGCCAATGTGTAATTCAACTGCTACAAAACCAAAACCTATTTGGTCAAGGAACTACACTAGAGTCTGATTGTACTACTAGACAAGCAGGGAGACAAAACAAACATTGGATTTAGAAACTTCCAAAACAATGAACAGGAAAATTTAGTCTTATTATAATAAGCAACAGCAAAATGCATTTCAAGAATTGTTCCAAAATATTTTATTTATAAAAAAACGAGACAAGAACTTGCATAACGGAGCTGACTTAGAAAACTAAGACAATAAATCTACCTTCAAGTACAAGACATGTGGTGATCTAACATGACCACCTTTGTTCATCTCGCCCATCAGTGTTGCCAAGGATATTTTTGGGCAATCCTTCATCACAATCAAGTCCAAGTAACCATCTGAAAACTGTATATGAGACAGAGAAGATGAAGTGAGAATTCAAAATATGACAAACCCAGGACAGTTGCAGTTGAAGTACCCACAGCTTAGAGCTTCTAAAGAGAGAATAAATGGAAAGTAAAGCTTAGTACATGGATCTGCTAGTGTTGGCCTTTTATAGTAAGGGATTGGACTTCAAGTTAAAAATAATAATAATAAGGTTTTCGACATGTTCCTTCAGCAATGACACTATAATGAAACCATTTATTGCAGAAAATCCTACACATAAATGTGTTTATGTTTAGGAGAGAGTAAAAGAAGAAAACTACTTAAATCAAGTTATAACCAGCAAGAGTCTTAGTCTAAGAAGAGGATCTTCACCTCTAGAACATAAAATCATTTAATCAGAGAAGTCTACCCTGTATTTTGGCCCGTGTCGTAGGAAATAAGGAGCCTACTTTTAGCATACAGAAAGAAACTTGCCTTCGGCTATTAAGTCCAAACATTTATCGTTGTATCTATATTCAAAATGTAGCAAGCAAATGACTTGATGAACTCCTTTGCTTACTTATCCTAAGAAAAAGCCTAATAGAGTGAAGATGCCCCAAGAATTCAGTGGAAGCAGGAAAGCTTTAGCATGTAGCATATGCACTTTCCAAAGCTTCGGCATCAGTTTATACATTTTTAAAGCTCCAAAATTAGTGGCTTTTTTGCACAGGTCATTGACCAAGATCCAGAAAGGATAGTTAGTTTTTCTACTTCCCTCGTGATAAATTCAAGCTCTTTATCCATATTCTAGAGTAAAATGTCTGCGCCAGATTTTGCACATGATTTCCTTACTTCTTTCTCTAGAAAATCTAAATCTGCTAGGCTAGACTCCAAGTTTGTATGCTTTTATAAAAGTAAAGACAGCATGTGGAAAGTTTTGAAAAGTAGGATCAGCTTGAAAACTAGCTACTAAAAAGTAAAAACAGTAATTTTCTGAGAAGAGAAGGATATTTTTTGGCTAGCTTACCCAGGTAAAGAAATAAGGAAATCAAAACATAAGATTCTAAGAAGAAAATTCATACAATAAATCCTTTCCATGGCTTTTAAAGATCAACTCACTTTCTTAGTAAGAAAAAGCATTTTCTAATCTTATTTACCTTCCATTTTCAGTTTATAATTTCAAGAACTAGACAAAGTAAAGTACACCTTAGCAATTATTATTCAATCTATTCCTGACCAAGGATATCATCACTTTCTCCCTGGAAAAAAAGTAAAACTGAAAAGCTATGCTGCATTATTCAGTGATTATTTTTTGTAAGTATCACATTGCTAATCGAACTGAAAAATAGTAAAAGTAAGTAACTTTAGGATCAGAAATTCAGAAACAGGAAACTGTTGGAAAAAAATTGGCATGGAAGAAGCAGACACACACGGTTAAAAATCAGCCATTTTAAAGGTAACTCCTGTCTTCAAGTACTAAGAAATAAGCCCTAAACGTTGTATATGGTCACAACAAAAAGAAAGATCTAATCCAAATTCAAACTACAAATTACAGAAGCCGTTCGATCTGGTATACTTTTAAAGTAGCAACAAGAGAAGTTAGATCAAATTTAATGAGGCAACCTTCACATTGTGTCCAAAGAAACTCAAACCAACCTTGGCATCAGGTGCTGCCAGAACATCTTCACCTCCCCAAGGTACATTATGAAGCCAGATTGAGACAAAAGGCCCCTCAATCTTGCGGTTGAAACCCTTCATGTCAAAAGTAGGACCACAATAGCCATCTTGCATAACCCAATTCGAGTTAAGCTCATCAATTTCACCTCCAAGTTCATTTGGTTCTCCAAAATTTTCAAACCCTGGTGCAGCCACAAATTTGATACAGCCATGATACTTTCTAAGACAAAATATCCGCTGTATTGCCTGGACCAACAACATGAGACTAGCAATTAAAAAGCAAGCCATGATACTTCAATAGCCATAAATTAGATTCCCTCTGTATCTTAGAACCATGAATCATGCAATCAACTGAAGAGGCATTCAACTTTATCTTTTCTTTCTTTTATTTTTTTCTCCTGGGAAAAGATAGGATGGAATGGGGGTGGAACTAGTGTCCATGAAGAACGGTTCAGGTACACAAAATACTGGCAAAATTTCTGGGTCAGTGAATCTCAAATATTGTAATGAGACCAAACCTTCCAAAGAACGAGAAGGAGCAAGGTGCAACAAGAGAGGAGGGAGAGAGAGAGAGAGATCAAGGAATGAAGTTCTACAGCAAGCAGAAAATTTGTAAATAAATCCAGTGAGGAAATATGGAGGTACAACGTTTTTTTGAAACAGGTAACATATTTGTATATTAATAACAAACTACACAAAGGGTGTAAGTAAAATACATATTAGAGGAAATAGATTTAGAACATACATAAAAATCCATTCGAGCACTACCCATCCACCTATACTTCTCAGACTCTATATCTATATCAGCTATAAGACCTGGAAAACAACGAGTCCTGTCAGATAGTTTAGTATGATATTTCAATTTGCAAACAATAAGTGCATAGCATTGCATTAAATGAAACAAAAAAAGTATAAAAACCACCAGAGCCAATGTCAGATATACATACCCCAGGCAAGCATCAGCACACTGAAATATTTTTTCTGCCCCTGTAGAACTGTAGCTACATCTAGTGATCTCTTGTGCCCTGCCATAGACCAAACATGCATAGGTATAAAAATCTTCTTTCATTGAACAAGAATAGTAATGCAATTGAAACTTCAGTTCAGGAATACACATTTTTGTTTAAAAGGATATTTACCTCTAATTATAGCAAGAGTTGCATTAAATGCAGTACAAGATTCACCAACAGAATCTAGAAGAGACTTTGCCATCCCATTTGAAGTTCCTGCATTAGCATACACAAAAATGCAATTATACAACAGTAGAAGAAAGTAAATAACAGTTTCCATGTGCAAAAATGTTTGTAAGAAGTTACAAACCAAACTATGTACATTATACTGTATAAAAAGCTACAAACCAAACTATGTACATTATACTGTATATAAGAAACCAGATCAGCACTTCAGTCTAATTTCTGAAAGTTGTGTCAATTCACATGTGTTTCACCACCTCGTTCCCTTGACCACCTTTCAAAAATTAGACGGAAGTGCTTATCTGGTAGTTTAGCATACTAAAGGTATAACAATGTGAACAAAAGCTTAATGTGACAAAACCAAAATAATGTATGTCAAGCTCCACAATAAAAGCTAAGCAAAATATACAAAATCCGCTTAGTGTTTACTAAAGGGAAGCACCCGCAAGAGAAGAAAATATACCTGCAGGTATTACTCCTAGAGGCATCTTTATTGCAGAACTCCAATCCTCCCTTTCAAGCAGTCCATTCACTACCTACTAAAAATTGTAAAACATGAAAGTAAGAGGATCACTGGTTGGTTATCATCCATTTACTCTTTTGGATCAGGAAAACCTTATTATAAGTGCCCAAGAGGAATCGAACTCTCTCGTTATCATTCCTTTACGACAATAAATAATAAGCCAAAAATCTTAAAGATAGAGCCCTCAGGGCACAGACCTTCTAGAACGCAGGATTAATGAAGAAAAGAGGTGTTTGTACCCTTGTTGTGGCTACCACCAATATCAGTGGAGCAACTTTGAATTTGTTCCAGGGCTCACCTCTAAGAAATGTCAAGTTTTCAACTACATCAGCGCAATATACTTTTTCTCTCTTTTTTTCTTTTGTGGGTGGGGGGAATAAACCTCTGTGCTTCTCTTTTTGTATGCATTTCAGACGTTGAAGCACGAGAACAAGATAGCTACATATAAGCACTCTAAAGTTTAGGAATAAACACTATCAATTTATCTTTTGATTGTTTTTCATTTAACCATGATATTACGAATTTATTTCTTCGCATTCAGCAACTCCTTTCAGCAGTTTCATGTTCGAAGTGAAGCTGGGTAAAAGTCAGGAAGAACCGCTGGTAAAGGAGTAAGTTTTATCTAGCAGCTATCCCACTGTAGGTTCATTGTGATAAGTTTAAATCAGAACAATATATTAACTGAAATATCTTGAGTTTTACATCATGAAAGCATAAGATGCCAGTCAAGTGTCAACAAACAAGTTACGTATTCCATGATCAAAACACAAAAATAGACATGCCAACCGACCTCAACCAAAATGCCATCACCACTGACACAAAGAACTCCATCATATCCCATAAGATCCAATGAATGAGCAACTTCCTTCGCATGTAATCGATATTTAGTTTCTGAGAGTGGAAGATTAAAAGGCAAGATTAACAACATAAAAAGAATCACTGAACAACCACTAGCTACACATGAATAAGAATATTTAATATTGCAAACCTTGCAGTGTGTAGTGAATATTTGCATCATCGAGCAGGGGCTTTACATCGTCACTAAATACTTTGGGTGCAGATCGGCTTCCTCCATATGGATTCAGAAGTACAAGAAGTCTCTTAGGACGACCTAAAATTCCATGATGTCAATTGTCAAGTATCCCGTGTGGTTAAAAGCACAACATCATTTTAAGCAAGAAGTGAAGCAAAGCATACCAGAAATCAAAAGTGCTTCTTACTTCCAAATCAAAGCAACTTATCTCAAGAAAACTTAGGTTTAAGGACAAAAAAAAAAGCAAGAAGCGCTCATTTGCTTTAACTTTTCTTCTCTGTTACACAATATATGCTAGTAGGACATGTCCTATTCATGTTCTAGCACACATCGTATCAAGACTTGACACAAATGAGAACAAAATTCTTTAATTTGGAAGAAAGAACTTCGTAGCTGATCAACTTGTTGAATTTCTGATGCTAAATTATTGTACTCACATAATACCAGAAAATCCTTTTTTTTTTCTCACTTAAAGCCACATGTGCCTTTTAATCTATATCGTGTACTTCTCTCTCAAGATAAATGTATCACAGAACAAAAAGACAATGACTGCTTATTGCGGAAGAGATGACGACAACAACATCCTAAGAAGAACAAACCAAGATAATCTTGCTTATTAAAACAGCCTGATATCATCAGCAAGTCTAACCAAATATTACCTCAAACAAACGCATGCTGCCTAACAGACACGCGAAGTGGTATGATTTAGAAAAGTAGAAGAAAAATTATTACAAAATAACAAGAAGCAAGCATCTGGTCATAGATTCCAACATAAATAAAGCATATGATTTTCATTCCATTTTTATCTGTTCCCGAAAACACAGCTTCAGGTTGTGCGCTAGACATTACTATCCCCCGGTGAACACTGCCATACCGGACTTTTAAGTACCTCACATCAGCACTTTGTAGTAAGATGTTGGACTTGCAATGGACCATAACAGTTTAATTCACTCGTACATAATTCCACCAAATCACTATTCACACATTATAAAAGAATCGGAGTAATAAAAAACATGAATTAACATCATCACGGTTTCTATTAAAAGGAAATGTTGGTGAAATCCATATTCAACAGTTCAAAATCATTGTGTATATAGTAGTACAGCATTCCTCAAAAACACAACGAAATAGTTACCGAGTGAATCGATGACGGATTGGAGTCGTTGATTCCAAAGCCGAAGAGAATCCTCAGACAATGGCTCAAAAGTGAAAGTCTTCCTCATCGGAGCTCCTACATTACTGGGGCAGCAAATTCCAGGTCCACTCTCAATGACGGCATTGATTTTGATCCGAGAACCTTCGACGGTGAAGCCGAGTACATCTTTCGCAATTGACAAACACCGGTCAGGCCATCGGAGTTTTCCTCCGGTAGTGAGAGTCATCGGAACTACATTGCCGCTGATTTGAACCCGATCAGATAGAAGAGGAGCTCCGGCGTCCGTCGGATCCATTGTTAATATCTCGGTTTCCGTCAGGCGCATCGATTTATTATAAGGTGGAAAACCCGGTTGAGTAGCATAGCGAGAAATAAGTAAGAAATGTCGTTATCTTTGTATTCCCTGAACGGCAAATATTAGTTGCTGCAACTTCAAGTCAGACATAAATTGTGTCAAAAGGCCCAAAAATTGAGATTACTCTTCGTCTCTTTTGTCGGTGGATACGTATATGATGATCACATCATTTTAGGTGATTCTTAATTGGGAAAAGGTTAAAAATACCCTTAAACTATTGGCAATGGAGCAAATATACCCTCCGTTTGAGTTTGGGTGCAAAACTACCCTCACCGTTATCCAATAGGCTCAAAAGTACCCTTCACTAACGGAAGAGTGGAAAAAGGAATTTATAAAACTTTTAAAATAAGAAAAGGTTGACTTTTTCTTTTGTTGCCTCCTCTCTCATTCTGCTCGCTGCCCCCAAGTTCCATCCATCAGCCTGTTTTATAAACAAAAAAGTTATTTTTTCTCAAGTCAAATATATCAAGAACTTGCATGATTTTTCCATATACGGGCTAAATTGCTAAATTCAAGTTATGCCATCTCATTGCCAAGTAGAGCAAATATATATCAAGCAAAGGACATGTAGAAATCTTGAGTACTCTTGTCAAAAAATCTAAATCTATTACTCATTTTTCTATAATTACTGCACAAATTTTTGATGTGGTGATATACAAATTTGTTTACTTGACATCATAAAATTTCATCATCGAATACAAGCCATGGTCGTGAGTGAAACTTGAGTGTAGATTAGTCAAAATGGATTCAGTTTTGAGTGACAAAAGATGAATTCAAGTTTTTTTTGTTTGGGTTTTGGTTCGATCTGATTTAAGAGGTAAGGAAGGAACAAAGAGGAAGAAGAGGTAGGAAATGGGTGGCAGCGGGAGAAAATTGGGAGGGGTAGGTGAAAAGAAAAAGTTGACTTTTTCTTATTTTAAAAGTTTTTTAAATTCCTTTTTTTTACTTTTCCGTTAGCCAAGGGCATTTTTGAGCCTATTGAGTAACGGTGAGGGTGGTTTTGCACCCAAACTCAAACGGAGGGTATATTTGCTCTATTTGTAGTAGTTTGAGGGTATTTTTGACCCTTTTCCCTTCTTAATTTTTTAACGTGTGTTATTTGTATTTTTCATTGAATAATCAAATCTAACTCCATCTCAATCTTACTATGGTTGTTACGAGTTGTTTCGTAATTTATCTTATTGTATTGTATTGTTATGAGATTTTGGGTACTGTAGGTGCTTTAGGATCAAGGAGGTTATACGGGCTATTAGTAGGATGAGCAGGGGAAGAGCGACCGGTCCCGATGAGATTCCGGTGGAGTTTTGGAAGAGCACGGACAAGGCAAGCATATAGTGGTTAACCGGGCTGTTTAATGTTATTCTTAAGACAGCAAAGATGCCTGATGAATGGAGATGGAGTACAATGGTTCCGTTGTATAAAAACAAGGGTGATATCCAAAACTGTAACAACTATAGGGGTATCAAATTGCTAAGCCATACTATGAAGATTTTATTAGACATTGAAAAGGCATATGACAAGGTGCCAAGGAATGTCCTCTGGAGGTGCTTGGAGGCTAAAGGTGTCCCGATGATTTATATTAGGGCGATAAAGGACATGTACGGTGGAGCCAAGACTCGGGTTAGAACGGTTGGAGGAGACTCGGAACATTTCCCAGTTGAGATGGGGTTGCACCAGGGATCAGTCCTTAGCCCTTTTCTATTTGCTTTGGTGATGGATGAGTTGACGCGGTCCATTCAGGAGAATGTCCCATGGTGTATGTTATTTGCGGATGACATAGTACTGATTGATGAGACGCGGGACAGAGTTAATGCGAGGTTGGAGGTGTGGAGACAAACGCTGGAGTCCAAAGGGTTCAGGTTGAGTAGGACCAAAACAGAATATTTGGGGTGCAAATTCAGTGATGCATTGGATGAGGCAGATGTGGATGTGAGACTTGCCACACAAATCATTCCTAAGAAAGAAAGTTTTAAGTATCTTGGGTCTGTAATCCAAGAAAGTGGTGACATCGACGATGATGTCACACATCGCATTGGGGCTGCTTGGATGAAATGGAGGCTTGCCTCTGGAGTCTTGTGTGATAAGAAAATCCCGCCTAAACTTAAAGGTAAGTTCTACAGAGTGGTAGTTAGACCGTCCTTGTTGTATGGAGCGGAGTGTTGGCCAGTCAAGAACTCACATGTTCAGAAAATGCATGTTGCGGAGATGAGGATGTTGAGGTGGATGTGTGGGCAC